CTACAAATTCCTTTCTTTTCTTCCCTCCAGATGTTAGCATCCTGTGTTTATTGTGCTTCATTGCTGTGTCCCTCCCAATTCATTAAAAAGGCAAATGTTTGGAAGCAAATCCAGTGTAAATATTGGAAGGATTCCTGGTTTTAATTGAGATACATTGACTTAGCTTTCACAAGTTCAAGGAATGCATTTTGATATTTTCCTTTTCCTATTCCCTGAGGACTCTATCTAAACCACATGCATACACTCAGTTGAGAAAATGGGTCTGTGCTCAAGCAGGAAAAGTCAAATAAAAGGAGAATGGGGTTCTTGAAAAGCATACCACTCCATAACTTTACTGATTTCAGAATGGCTTTAGGACCCTGGGACTGAAAAAAAAAATGTTTGTTTTTTTCTGATTGCAAAAGTAATACATGCCCATGAAGAGAATTTCAAAAATGTAGGAAAAAATAAATTTATGAACAATCTTACCACTAGAGAAAAACACTCTTGAAATACAGTTATTTCTCACATATAATGCAATAATCATAATTACTCTAGAAACATAATTTTGTATCCAGTTTATTTTTTTTCCTCTTAATGCTTGATGATGAGCCTTACCCATGCATACTCTGCAAACACATATAAATCATGGATAGGTGTTCTAGCATCCATTGAGCCAAGCTAGAAACTTTAATAATCGACTCTTTTACTGAAGGAAAAAAAAATTCATACATATATACACTCCTCAAAAGCCCTTTCAGATACTTAAGCCAATTTGATCCTCAACAGATCAAGAAAGATACTATTTTCATCTCCATGTCACAGATGAGAAACTGAGTCCCAGAGGGATCTGGACCAGTGCCCAAGTGGATTTCTCCATTACACATGGTGTTAGAGGTAACCAAAGGTAAGCAGATTTTTGCCTACAGGTAAAAATTAAACCAAGGGCCATTCCCAATCTCTTTCTGTAACGATCCCCGCTTCTGTTAGATCCTTCCTCTGATCTAAACTTGGATGTCATCTTTCAGGCATCCCTCTCTCTTATCCCAATATCGAATATCAAACAGCCAGGAAAAGTAGCCATTTGTTGACCGTAGAAAAATGACCAGTTCCGTGGCCTGAAGTCTGTAATCAGACCCTGCCACCTCTATCTACCCACTATACACACGAAGAAAGTTTCTCCCAAAGTGTGGACTGTGTTTCCTCCACAACAGAATCACTTGTAATGATCGTTAAAAGATAGATGTCTGGCAACAGTATGGTGGTTGTGAGAGAGCAAGGGAGTAGGGGGAGATCGAAGAAAGTAAAGGAGGCCAAATTCATGGTGATGAAAGGAGACTTGACTTTGGGTGGTGAGCACACAATGCAATATACAGAGGATGTATTATAGAATTGTACGCTTGAAACTTATATAATTTTATTAATAAATTTTGCCACAAAACATTTAATTTAAAAAAGATGGAACGTCTGCAAGTTCAACCATGTCAAACTGTAAACATTCAAATGAAAATAAACTTTTAAGTTGTTGATGATTTTTAAGTATGAGAATCTCAGCTACACTCTATGCAAACTGAACTGTTCTCTTAGTATACTGCCTACATTCCCCCCTACCGTGCTTTTTTTTTCAGATCTTTACTTTGATGCAGAGAACTCCTCCCTTTGCTTTCCAAATGTTCAGATCCTGCTGACCCCTCAAGGCCTGGCTGAGATGCTACCTCTGTGAGTCCCGCTTCCCTAGCAGCCTCTCCCTTCTCTGAGCTCCTGCGCACTTACTGCTTATTACAGGGACTAGCCTTACTCTCCTACTGTGTTTCAGAAACTGCGTTTGTCAAAGTAATTCTGTCAGGGATCCTTTAAAGCACCTGTGAAACTTAGGGCAACCTTTTTCATCTGGAAGAATTATGGAGTCTCTACGCACGCTCCAGAGTCCACATCTGCACACATTTGGTCCTTCTCTCTGGGTACATAGACATTAATTTGGAGTTTTTGCCAAATCTACTAGATACCCAAATCTAGATTCTTCATGAAGAAGTAATGGCTTGTATGCTACTTCTACTCAAAGACTTCTCATGAATGTTTGAAGAAAATAAAAAGATACAAGACTATCAAAGCAAACCTAATATTGTGCCCCTTTTGGCAGTCAAATTAGGCAGTGTTCTGTGGAGTAAGACACCAAGGCTGTACTGAGATTTCCGGGCCAGATATCATGGGCTGCGGGAAAAATGGTAAGTGGTATATAAAGGACACTGCATAGCTTACAGCACAGATCACAAGTTCAAATTTATACAGAAGCCAAGCAGATAAGGTAAATGAATTTTAAGTGCTACATAGTTCCAGTCACTTGTCCTTAGCAACAGACTTACAGAGGAGACATGATGATCTAGAGAACGCATGCCCTGTGCAAAGAGTGGAATCAATTCCAACTGATGGGCATCATGCAAGAATGCAGGCTCAGTGCTGCTGAACATTTTCAAGAGACACCGTAAATTGATTTTTATGGGATAGCCTCTGATTTTTTTTTTAACATTGACCATTAATTCAAATTTAAAGTACTGCATAGGCCAAATACATCTACAAGTCATTTGTTTCACACAGTACAATACCAATTGTGGCTTAAACCAGGATTTCACTACTGTCTCTCCCTGAATCATGAGTCAACATTTGAAAGTCAGCACACTCTATCTAGAGAGTCTGAGGAACACAGAGCAGGGCAGGGCTGTCATTCCAGTCAGAAAAGAAAAGAATAAAACACAGCATTCTGGAAGGCCCTAGAGTTGACTATTTCAGAAACTCTGAGGGAGGTTTCAAGCCAATTATAGATGCTATCCATGGGACCTGATTACTCATTCACAGACCTCGAGAAGAAGAGACAGGATGTGATGGTGGTGGTGATGGTAGTGGTGGTGGTGGTGGTGGCACTAGTTTGTCTCTATTCAATAGATCAGGGTGGGTATGTTGCTTTGTCAAAGCTCATCTCTCACCAAGTGTGAGTAATTGAGGATCTGCATGCTGCTTCCAATATCAGAAGTACAGGCCCATGGGAACCAGTTTACACCAAGCCAGGGGGGAGTCCTGAGGTGGCCTTGACACCTTTCAGCTTCCAGCTGTGACTTTAGGACTACAACTGTATTTTGTAGCTTTGATGAGAAAATTACAGTTAACAATTAGAGCACTGTTAGTATTTTATTTTATAATTTGATTGACACACATAAACATTGTTTGTCAGTATAAGAGATGTGCATTTACTAATGTCTTGGTTACATTCGTGAAAGGAAGTGCTTTGTGGGTCTGTTAAGCCCCAGGAATCCCAACAAAGGAGAGAGAGGAATTGGTTTAAGTTTGTTTGATGTCTGTAATTAGAGGTTATTGCAGGAATTCTTGTACTCCTAAGGGTTATCACCTCAGTGTTTCTGTGACCACATCTGGAGGCAGCTATAATTTGCACAAGGTCAGTCAAATTTATGCTCTAAGTAGTGGTGAGATTAGGTGATGTGTATAGTGAGCGCAGTTAAGTTTGTATGTAGTGTTCCTTTGTAAAAGAGGTCTGTTCACAGCATCTGACCTCCTCATGAGGCAGTTTGCCTAAGTTCAGGGATCCCTTTTTTTAAGTTCCTTATTAAAATATTGCTAACGGACAATAGTATATTAGTTTCAGGCATACACCATAGTTATTCAACATTTATATACTTAAAGAAGTGATCACCATGATAAGTCCAGCAACCATCTGACTATATTCTCTATCAGGGGTTCCCTTGAAGGCAATTATTTTGAGGGTTTACAGCATTTTAATAGCACTCTCTACTGTTTAGATATATACCGATTTTTAATATCATATTTATTTATTACTAACATCTATTCGAAGCAAGCATGCAACTTATTTTATTCTAGAGCAAATCAGGAAATCAAGACACAATTGCTGTTATCCAGTCTTTTTTTTTTCTTCAGAGAACAATAACTCCATGAGGCTGGCCTGAAGTCACTCAGTCTTTGAGTTTGTCCTTACTTAAGTAGTTGAAGGTATTCTAGTTACTTTTAAGATTTTTCTGAAGTCATTATTTAGATCTTTCCAAAGAGATTTTTCTCCTACTTGGCAGCAGATGACACACATCCTTCACAGACATGTTACTGTTCCCGATGGACTGGTTCAGCCTGCACACAGTCAGGGCACCAGCTTCTCTCTCTGGAATTCTTAAAAACAATACAAGGTCTTACTCTCGTGCCGCTCCACAGCGGGGCTGAATCCCAGAAGCTGAGCCTCTCACCTCCTTGTTGCCCCAACCTAATCTTCCAGATGAGGAGCACAGAGCAGGGCAGGGCTGTCCTGGCAGCTGGAGGGCATCCCAGGATCTGACGCAGTGGCCTTGGTGCCTGGGTTAAGCAAACCTCAGCTTCCTCATTCCATTTCTAAACAGGGTGTGCCCCGCATGACATGCCAGGATGACATAGCACTTAGTTGAGTTAAATTGAGTAGCCGACCAAATCACAGGCATTCCTATGGTGAAAAGATCGGCTCTTTATTGCCCCACCTCATAAACCAGAGGAGAATGCTGTCTGAGCCAAGAAAAAAGTATAAGAGAGAGCCAACATAGCCTAGCAGTTGCTATGACCTGACTTGCATTTTACACACTTGAATCATCCAGATATTAACCAAACAATTCTTAAATATCTATTTTATTCACTGTTGCCTAAATGATTAATGAGACTGAGGATATATTTTTTTAAAAAATAAAATGTGTTTTAATAAAAATCTTTAGTAAATAAAAATTAAAATTTTAATGATGTATAATAATAAAAAGTAAAAGTTTATTTGAAATTTTATTTTTAATCTAATTAGAAAATTCTCAAAAGAAAATTCATATTGCTTAATTACGTTCTCGGCAGAGCATCTAGTTAAGAAACAGCATTAACCAGTGAGTGAACAGACATCACAGAGCAGGGGTCCTCAGTAGAGTTGAAATAACCTCATCTTGCACCTCTCACCTTCAACAGGAGAGCCATTGTGTTCACTTTATAGCATTTAAGGCCCTGGCAGCAAATTGGCCAACTTGGTTTGTTTCCTTGGCCTCATCTGCAGGCCTGCCACATTTTTCACAGAGGGTGGAAAAGAGGAAGCTCGTGTTCCCTTGGACACTTGGGGTGGCCAGGGCTCAGAGCCCACCTTTCTCTGTGGGTGAGAGGAACAGTTCAAAGCCTCTGTCTTCCTAATCGTTAACAAATGGCCTCCCTCCTAGGAGGGAGACTGAGAAACAGGAGGAAGTGTGAAAAATCGCTCTCAGCTGGCCTGGGGACCTCAAGCCTGGGTGCACATCAAAATGAACACCACAGAAGTACCGATACCAAGCTCACTGTTCTGTCACACTGTCCGAGTGCCTGGCTGCTGAGGCGAACGGTGGCCAAGTGGATTCCGGAAACCTCATGAGAACAGCATCTGCTGCTGCTGCTTCTCTGTGGCCCATTGAAAGCCCTGATACATAAAAGGGTATAAAAAGACTACTTTTGAACCACCAGAGTGAGGCATTTGTCTTAGGCCTAGGATAACTATTCAGACCACATATGTTTTTGTTTTGTTTATCCCCCTAATGTCTGTATATGGGAAGTGCTCAGCTCTTTCATAGCATTCTCTCATTCTTTCACCAAATGCTCTGAAACACCTCATATCCCAGGAATGCTGGCATGTGGCTGTTCGAGCCTAGGGCTACTGCAATGACTACAGAATATTAATAACCGAGCATTTGAATCATCCTGATATTAGACAACGGACCTTCAGACTATCTGTCCTGACCACAAGCTTCTACCACTTAGAACAAGAGTAAACACAACAGACTAGACAATAAACTTGAGTTAGTGGTTTTCCATAAAACTCCACAGAAGCGTGACAGGAACCTCCATAGAGGACTGGGTAGAGAGACAGAATTCTAAAATCTCCACATCCATTTTAATCATCATCTTTTTTGATGCTCTATTTCCTTTCGTTCTGTGAGTCATTTTTCTCAGATTGACTTCAACTCTCTACCCTGACTCAGTACATCAACAGTAGTCCCCCTTATAGTGGGGGATATGTTCTGAGACGCCCAGTGGATGCCTGAAATCATGGTTACACACACACACACACACACACACACACACACACACACACACACACACACACACGTGCGCGCAATGATTTTCCCTATACATACATGCCTTATACTTTATGGTTTCTCTTTGGTGTATCTAAATTCACTACTCTTGCACTTTGGGGTCATTATTAAGTAAAATAAGGATTATTTGAACTCAAGTATTGCAATACTGGGACAGTCAATCTGATAACTGAGATGCTGCTAAGTAACTAACAGGCGGGGAGCATGAGTATACTGGACAAAGAGATGACCCACGTCTAGGGTTAAATGGAGCAGGACAGCATGAGATCACATCACGCTCCTCATAACGGTACATAATTTAAATTTTATGAATTGTTTATTTCTGGAATTGTCCATTTAATACTTTGGATTGTGGTTGATGGCGGGCAACTGAATCCTTGGAAAGGGAAACTGGGAAAACAACTGTGCCTGGATCACAATGGTTCTCACCCGATTTGTCCTTAAAGCAGAGAACTGTGGATCGGCCACAATGGCGTTAAAGTTTAGGGGGTTGGAAGGAGTGTGCAACTGACAGGGTAGGTAGATAAGTAGATATGAGCTGGGGGTCTCCCCTGCTCTAGGGTAGTAACCCACCCAATGATCACAAGGAGACATATGATGAGAATTTGGTGTTTCAGCAGCTCTCCTGGTAGGAAATGATCCAGAGAGACACTGTTCTGGCTTTGAGTCAAGTCCTCGATTGTGCCTCTCTAGTACCATCTTTCGAAGCTCTGCTAAAGCCGTATTTCCTTACTGAAAACACTCTCTTAAAGTTGCCATTTTTTGACCTTTCCCATGCCATATCTGCATGTCACACTGCTTCAGCCTTTTCTTTACTCAACATTTTATTATTAGGGTTCGATGTAGCCTTTTAATAAAATGCTTTGTTGTCTCTCAAGGATATCAGATAGTGGACAGAGGATATCACTATTTCTTTTTGTTTTCCTTCTTTGTTAGATACATAGTAGATTTCAAGAAACATGAATTGTTAGATTAACTTGTGTTCAACCCATTAATTTAGGAGGAATGGTATAGAGAGAATTTGGTCTTAGCCACTTATAAACTAAACTCATGGGCCTATTCAAAATCTCTAAATGAGGATCTAGTTATTAGGAATAATATTTACTAATAAATTATTTGTTATTATGTTTTGTTGATTGTAGTTTGCTCAGAAATATTTACTAGTCCTCAGTGGGGTGTGTGTTTGTGTGTGTGTGAGTGTGTGTGTGCATGGGTATGTGTGTGGGTGTGTCTTAGAATGGCTTATATTCCCATTGAGGAGTAGGTCAATACATCCATACTTTTATTTTATTTATGTTTAAATTTTGTTTGCAGCAAGGTGAATAGAAAAATCCTGTCCCTCTTGAAATAATAGAAACATGGCTTTGACTTGCTTCCACAGACAGCTAGGATGTCACAACAGAGGAACACTGGCATGACCTTTAATGCTTCTCTTTAATAAGGTGGGAGGAATTTCAAAAAATAATATGCCAGCTGACTCCCGCTGAGAACTCTGAACTCATGAGTTTTGCAGTCTATCAAGTTAGATGACTCTTTTTTTTGTTGAACACAAAATAATCTTATATTTATTTATTGCATGAAAAAGTCTTATGTCAGAAATGTGACTGGGGACTTAATCTGTAGTCTATAGCTGAGAGAAGCAAACTTTAATGTGGGTTTCGAGGTCCAGTTGTTTCCTCGACTACTTCAAAATGTTTGCAGTCACAGAGGGTTAAGATAATGGCCATCAGGCCATTCCATTCTTCACATTTCTGGTCAGAGATAAATGAGAATATGCTTCCCTGCTGTGCAAACATCCTTTTTATTAAGACTGAGTGAACAAGAATGTAAGCACATTTGGCTGCAGAGAAAACTAACAGAATTGGAAACGTAGAATATTAAAGCTCAAAGTCTAAGATCAGGCTTTCAAAGTACAAGTGAATAAAAAGAAAAAAAGATATTACAGAATAAGCAGCAGAGCTGAAATGGAAGTGTGACACTTGGGCGTGCCCAAGTGGCCAGGGCATGTGTTGCTCATGGAGACTCAGAACACATTGTTTATGCAAACACTTGACAATGAACCACCCGGGGTCTCGTTACACATATTATATTCTCACATATTTTGTAACTTAGCTGTTAAAGTATTGTTTTATTTTATACCTTCGTATGGCATGTCTTCCCACTTAGAGTCTAAACAATTTAAGGTCAAGGACTGTGCCATATTTATTTCCACAGGACCTATCCCAATTCCTTGCACATAGTAAGCACCATTACCACTGCATAGCAAACTCCAGGGACATTATTTATATTGTGTTGATGGCACTCCCTGGCATTGTACAATCCGGCCCTGGTAGATGCACAGAGGGTACTGCTTGATTTGTAGCAATCAAGGGAAGTCTGGTACAATATAAAAACTCTTTCCTATTGCTTCAGTGGTCTGGGGAAAAGGGAAGTCCCCGAACCTTATTTAGTTCAACATAGTGTTACTGCTTTGAATCAATGTTTTTTGAATTCTGAAGTAGTGAAAAGAGTCATATGTGTTTCTGCTCCTGGGTGCGAAGTAGTCTCACATATGCGTTCTCCTAATAAGGACATGAACATGGAGTTGCCAACCTCTAAAAGAAATAAAGCCTAAGTTTGCTCAAACTTGGAAAACTTGTCATTTTTAGCCAGGAAAATGCATGTAACCAGCTTCTACATTACTAGGCCAGCCTCCCTGCCTTAAAGATCAGCTTGGGCCTAGTAAGATTAGATTTCATAAAGACTCAGTGGACTAAATACTGCATCTGGGCAGAGGGTAGGGGTTTCTGACTGGGAGGATTCAGCCCATTTTTTCATTCAGATGTCCTTTGGAACTTCAGAAGTTTCATCTAATCAGTAGGGAATGAGGTGACTTCCTCTATGGACCTCCAAATTGTATAGCTCCTATTAAATAATATTAAGCATGTTCTCTTTCAATAGAAAGCTCATGTTAAACTTCAAATGGCCACCTGTAGCCATGGATTTCAGTGATAAAATCATTAATGGCTATGGCTTTCTAGGAATAAAGCAATATGTTCAAAGTAGGACTTATAATAAGAGGAACATGCTGTAATCAAGGATCCGCATCCAGAAAGGTGAGAGGGAAAAGGTTCCATTTGGTGGGGAATATCCTGACTCTTTTGATTTTCCAGAGTGCTGATAATGTTGTCTCAGTTTGACTTCTCAAGGCTGGAAGGAG